GATCTAATCTACATGGGAAGTAGAAAGTATAAAAAGACAAGATCTCCTGAGTAAATTGGGAGCATGAGGACCTTGGGGGAGGATTGAAGGGAGGAGGGGAGAGCCAGGGAGGGGAGCAGAGAAAAATGTAGAGCTCAATAAATATCAACTAAAAAAATTTAAAAAAAATCAGAAGGGGGAACCTTTGCTATCCAGTTAAGTGATGATCAACCTCTATTCCACTAAGATTTTGTTTGAGCTATCAGAATAATTTTTTAAAATAATTTACTTATTATGTATACAATGTTATGTCTGCATGTATGCCTGTCCACCAGAAGAGGGCACCATGTCTCATAGATGGTTGTGAGCCACCATGTTGTTGCTGGGAATTGAACTCAGGACCTCTGGAAGAGCAGCCAGTACTCTTTATCCCTGAGGTATCTCTCCAGCCCCTATGAGAATAATTTAAGGAAGAACATTTTAGTGTGAATTATTTATATAGGCTGTTAACATTATCAAGTCTTCTGGGACTGTGACCTTCATTTACTTAAAGTACTGGTACAAATTGGTTTAGTAGTGCAGGATGTTTTATGTTTGTGAAATGATTTGATTTCAAGCTCTTTCATATGCTACTAAAAACTATGTCCAGACAAATGTATACACCTTAGTCTGTCACAAGAGGGCACTCGTGCCCCATTCTTTAAAGTGAATGTTGCTCTGGGTAGTGAATGGGAAAAAAATGAAAAGGAAAGGAAAGGACTCTCCTAGGTGTGGTGCAGGAGAAAGTTTATTGTAGATAAAAGAGAGTGCGCAGGTAGAGGCAGGGACAGAGACATCTGGGAGAGTCCAGAGTGGACATGACGAGACTGAGCTGGGCCATGGTGTGTGTGTGTGTGTGGGGGGGGGGGGAGGTTAGGAGAAGGGAAAGAGAAACCAGGTCACAGCAGTCAGGAAGCCAAAGGTACAAAAAGGGTAGGTAACCACAATGTCTGGATTACACAGGGAAGATTCTCTGGGGGGATGGGCAGCCCAGTCCCTGGACTGGAGGGTAGGGGGTGGAGTATGCCAGTAATACCCTGTGAGAAGTAGGGACCTGAGGGATGCTGGGAGAACCTGGTGGCTAGGTCTGCTTTGATATGTTAAGTAGGTACTGAGCCATTTATTTGTCCAGGGTTTGAAACTTGACAGGAATGATGAATCCAGAGAAATGATCAAAGAAACACAGTTTGGACCCACAGAATGAATTTGGAGTTCAGTGGATGGCTATTATCCGACTGCACCGGGAGTTCTGCTCATGCAAATTTATTAATTTCATAAAAGAATATCTATTTATCCCCATCTCAGGACCCAGTGGAAAAAAAAAAGAATATCTATTTATTTAAACTCTTGGATACAGGGTTTCACTGTGTAGCCCTGTGTAGTCCTGGAACTTACTTTGTAGACCAGGCTGCCTGCCACGGACTGCTATAAAAAGATTTTTGTTTTTTGTTTTTCCGAGACAGGGTTTCTTTGTGTATCTCTGGCTGTCCTGGAACTCGCTCTGTAGACCAGGTTGGCTTCAAATTCACAGCGATCCGCCTGCCTCTGCCTCCTTGAGTGCTGGGATTAAAGGCTTGAGCCACCACTTCCTGGCTATGAAAGGATTTTTGTTTTGTTTTTGTTTTTTCGAGACTGGGTTTCTCTGTAGCTTTGGAGCCTGTCCTGGAACTAGCTCTTGTAAACCAGGCTGGCCCCGAACTCACAGAGATTCACCTGTCTCTGCCTCCGGATTACTGGGATTAAAGGCATGCACCACTACCACCCGGCTATAAAAGGATTTTTAAAGATTATACAAAATACAAATTCTTGCCGGGAGGTGGACAATTCTTTGGACAAGAGAATTTACTTGTTTTACATAGTGTATCCACTTAAAATAATGTTTTTTTTTTGTGTGTGTGGTGTGTGTATATTTGTGAGTGTATGTGTTCACATGTAGTGCCTGAAAGACCCTCTGGACACCCCCCCGCCCACAGAACCCGCAGCTGGCCTGCTCCCATGAGAACATCCTGTTCGCTTGAGACCCTCAGGACCCTTTCAGGACCTGCAGCTAGCCAGCTCTCATGAGAACATCCCGTTTGCTTAGGGAAACAGGATGCCTATAGCCAGCACATGTGCCAAACTTATAATATCAGCAGTTCACAAAAGAAACAATTCCCCCTATGAAAGATCCCAGCTTAGCTGCTGTAATATCATTTCACAAGGCTTTTGACGAACAAATGTAAGTGCAGAGTGAGGTCAGGGCCCTTGGCTGCAAAGCAGGATATCTATCTATAAAGTAGGACAATCTGTAAAGCAGGATATAAGATAGAACATCTATATGACAGGATGTCTGTTGCCATACATCTGTGCTGGGAAAAGAAAAACCAAAAGAGGAACAGGATATCTGTTCCCATACATCTGTGCTGGGAAAGGAAAAACCACTTATGCCCCTTGCCCCATTCCAACTGACCACTAACCACGCATTTGCTTCTGTAATCTGATTCTGCTGCCCTCTTTCCTATAAAAAGACCTTCCCCCAGTCTGCAGGCGCGCAAGTCCTCCGAAAGACTTTGTCGCCCGCAGGTACCTGTGTTTACTCAATAAACCTCTTGCTAATTGCATCCTGTGGCCTGGTCTCGGAGTGTCCTGGTTCTGGGGTCTTCATCGGAGAAAAAGTCCTCTCTGAGGGTCTTTCAGTGCCCATGCTCACACATGTGTGTGTGGAGGCCAGACATCGACGTCAGGTGTCTTCCTTGATTGCTCTCTGTTAGGTCAGAAGCAGCCCCTAAAAATGGCAGTGCTGGTGACAATATCCTAAACAGAAAGACTTTGGACAGGTAAACAGAGGATTGTTGTTGGATAAACAGGCCTAAAGAACCAGTTTCTCTTTACCTAGGAACTTCCCTTAATCCTTGTCCTCAAAGATCTACTACCTTTAGCAACGATAACTAATTCCCAGTCAGTCCAACCAGCCAGCATTAGCTCAAAAACCTCACTCTGCTGGCTGTCATGTTAAATCCACTTGCTTTTCCTCCATTTTTCTCTTCAGTAGCTGTGGCAGTTTGATCCCCAGTAAACTTTTTCTTTTCTACCCGTGGAGTGGTTCAGTTCGGTGGTTTCCCTGCACCTTGCTTACACTCTCTACTTTATTGGAGGCTACAATTTCTTTATAAGATAATCCTCAGGATGATACTTGATTACTTTGTTAAGAATAAGTTATAAAGCTGGGCAGTGGTGGCGCACGCCTTTAATCCCAGCACTCGGGAGGCAGAGGCAGGCGGATCTCTGTGAGTTCGAGACCAGCCTGGTCTACAGAGCTAGTGCCAGGACAGGCTCCAAAGCCACAGAGAAACCCTGTCTCGAAAAACCAAAAAAAAAAAAAAAAGAATAAGTTATTAAGGGCCTGAATCCCAACTCTCGAGAGTCAGAGACAGGTGGACCCCTATAAGTTTGAGGCATATGTCTTTCACTTTACAGACAGAAATACTTTCATGAGAACTTTATTAAGATTATATAGTGAATGTTTAAATTATGTTGAAAAATTCATCTTAATGTGCAATCTATCATCTCAACTCTGAGCAAGGGATGTCTACATTTCTTTAGACTGTGTCTCATTTCATGCTTGTCTGGTTTCTGAGTTCTTTTTTCTTTTCTTCCTCCTCCTCTTCTTTTTTGAGACAGGCTTTCTCTGGTAGTCCTGGTTGTTGTGGAACTTGCTCTGTAGACCAGGATAGACTAGAACTCAGAGATCCACCTACATCCCTCCTCCCTTAATCCCTCTGTTGGGTTTAAAGATGTGTCCACCACTCCCAGCTTCAATTAGTTCACTTTTGAAGATTTTTGAAAATGATTTAAATTTTAGGAAGTGATTTTTTTTTTTTGAAGTAAGGTTTCTTTCTGTAGCCCAGGCTGTCTTGGAACTCTCTCTGTAGACCAGTCTGACGTTGAACTCAGAGATCTGCCTGCCTCTGTCTTCTGAGTGCTAGGATTAAAGTCATGCACCACTACTGCCTGGCAGGAAGTGAGTTTTCTTTTTTCATCTCAGATTTCAATTATTCCTATACAGGAAATATCTTGACTTTTGTCTCTTGTCTATTTACGTCGTTTCTTGTTATTTCCTTTTATTAAGAGGTCCAAAATGGTGGAAAATTACTGTGTGGTATAAGCAGAATGCTGAATTTGACAGTTGACTGGTGATGTTGGAACTAGTTCATAGGTTTTGGAGATCACTAAGCATTTAGCTTCCTGCGGAGCTCTGAGAAGCCATCATAAGATTTTGTAACAGGGCCCCAGACGTTAGTAGGCCCTGAGACCTTAGCGCAACTGACTCCATGATGGAAGTACCATTGAGACTGTAGCACAGTTGACTCCATGATGGGGGTGCCTGCCATTCAGGCTGTTAAACTCAGCACGTAGACAACACCGCCTGACAAACCTAAAACAAAGGCCTAATTTATCAAAGCCCATAGTTATGGGAAAGTCTCTAAATGTACTAACCTTGGTTTTTGGCTTCTGTAGTTCTTCTGGGTAACTATTCTTGTTAACTGAAGTAGCTTAGGACATAGTTTTTGTGCTTAAATCTCATCCCGAGGAAGACTCGGGGTGTCACTGGGATTCTTGAACCCTCGGGGTAGTCGCCAGCCGGATTATAAACACTTTCTATTGGTTTAAACCTATAGAAAGCAGTCTTCCCTGGTGAATATCCCACAATATCATACCGATTTTCTCAGTGTCTCCCACAGAGATAATTGGTCTGTTTCTATAATGAGTACACTGGAGGTTCCTTCTCAGGTTCCATACTGCTTTGAGACACCTGGGGTTCGAATGAGAGAAAGGTGAAGAAACGTCACATCGTTGTTACAAAGTAGGTACCTATTCAGAAATCCGCTATTCCTGGTAATTACGAGTGTGGATTTGGAGGGAAGTGTCCTTTTCCACTTGCCATAGTTATTCAGAGGCTCATGGGTAATGTAGTCCCTCACCTACGAGGCCATCCCTCTGGGGCTCAGGTAAACAGCTAGGTTCTGGCCTTGGTAGACTCCTCTGTGCCACACTCTCCTGAGAACTTTGGCTTAGAAAGTCGCAGCCTGGCGTTGTGCTGACGCAATCTCTCGGGCTGCGAGTTTGGTGCCGGCTTCCTGGAGTGGGTGCGAAATAGGAAGGGGAGAGTCGCGATCCTCGGAAGCGGGACCCGAACCCCTTTGCTCGCTGGAAGCAGAAATATAGGTGGATCTTGGTGGGACTGAGACGCAGTGCGAGGGCAGGCCGGAGCGGGTCTGGAAGGAGACTGCGGGACCCACCGTGCCCAATCGGATCAGACGACCTGGACAGTGCTTTCACGGTTGCTGGTCAGAAGACTGCCCTAGGAGGTGTCCGGGTCTGTGACCCCAACAGAGGGCCATTACAGAAGCTCTGCCAAGGTGAGAGCCCAAGATGGCGACTTGGGGGTGAGGGCGGTGCGTGTCTTTATAGATTGCCAGGCTGGGGGTTGGGGGAGCAGGCTGCGGTGTGAGCTGACATTCCAGTCCTTGCTGCCAGTGATGAATCCTGTTACCTGTGTGGCTCTTTTTTTTTTTTTTTTGAGGCGGGGTTGGGGGTGGAAAAAGACCACTAATAGGAGACCAGACTACAGAACCGGGAATTTTCACTAGAATGACCCAGAAAACCCAAACTGGGAGCTTGGGAAAGTGTAAATTGACACTACAGTGCTGGAGCGAGAAGGGGGCCTGTTAGGAATTTTAAATATTAGCTCCCTGACGACGCAAAAATTCCCAATCAAGCCAAATCAAAACAAGCCAAATCAAAAAATATCCAGGTTTAATGGGAGATCTGCGCTCTCAGGTGGCCCCGAGGGGGAAACGGGAGGCCACAGGAACGAAAGAAAGGGAGACCACGTATTCTTCTTTTGGAGGGATCATTTAAGTACCCTGGGGAAAAAAGTGGTCCTGACCCCACCTGGAGGACCTGGCCTGCTGGGATTTGAAGTCCAGACCAGGCCTGGGGGCTGGGATAGGTGCGAGGGACTGGGACCTACGCTCCCAACTTAACAGGGCCTGTGACCCACAGTCGGTAACGGAAAAAGGGTGTTTGTTATCCTAATGAATTGACCCGAAATTCCTGGGGAAATTCTCACGTAGTGACTGTAGATCTTGTTGTGTATTGACAATTGTATTCGTTAAATTTCCTGTCTCTTCACAAAGTAATTTTTTTGGGCTTGACAATGGCCAGCTTGGCAGTCTAGGTTTGAGTTCTTAGCGATTCTCAATCAACAGGTCAAACGACCCTTTCACAAGGGTCGCATATTAGACATCCTGCATATCAGATATTTACATTATGATTTATAACAGTAGCATAATTACAGTTATAAAGTAGCAACGACAATAATTTTATGGTTGGAGGTCACCATGACATGAGGAACTGTATTAAAGGGTTGCAGCATTAGGAAGGTTGAGAACCACTGTCTTAGAAGGTTTTGTTTCGTTTTTTTGCAAGTCACCAGAGACAAGAAGGTCTCTCAGAAGATTCAAGTATTGAAATAAGAACATTTTCTTGGGAACAAAGTAGGGGGTTTCAGGTTCTGAAGGAGGGTGTTTCATCAGTAGGAACTCCATCCGGCTAGTGTGGAGGAAAACCTTTAATAAGAGACCAGGAAGTAAGTGCTGGGTCCTAGTAGGGAATTAGCTCTGGGTCCAGGCCTTAGACTGCTGCAGCCTAACTCTACAGAAAAGCAGGACCTTGTGATATAGCCCCTCTGACTAAAACTTACTTCGATTAACAGGGTCTGTCCATATCTTCATGGCATAATTGAAAGTTACCTGTACACCATGACACATTCACGTTTCAGAACAGAACAGTGGCCCATCTGGACTACCGATTCCTTCCTCGTTACCCTAATGCTCAGCCTACTATGTTGGTTGCTGAGCTGTGAATGAATTTGCCCTTTGGACCAGAATAGGAAGTGTGTTTATTGAGTGTAATGCAACAGAGCTGCAAGCTGGGCAGTGACTGTAGTACCATCTGCGTCATAGGCTGATAAGCTGTGGATGGGGTCGGAGGCAGGGATATACTTGTTCAGCCAGAGGGAGATTCTTTGTGTGCATGTGATACATGATGTGTGAAGATGAGTCCACATAAGGCAGTGTACATCTCTAGGGAGTTAAGCAAGAGCTACCGTGGATGCAATTCCAGCTGTGTAATGGGCATGCGAACAGTCTCAGTCCTGTGAAAGTTCTCCGATGGGGACCTGCCCCACAGCAGGCAAGATCTACTATTAATGAACTTAGTGCATTTGAGCGGAGGCAGAGTGTAGGTGCAACTCGTAGCTTTGCATGACCTAAGCAACTGCTGATCCCATTGCTTAGAACAATTTCTGGGCAAAGCTACCACCTTCTCAGAAGCTAGCAATATATGGGTGGTAGGGGCTTGATCCTTTTCTACCAGCTTAGTTGAAAAAGATTGGCAAGGGCCTGGGAAATATTTGTTGTATCTGGAAGTTGTGATCTAGTGTGGATGGGTGCCCTGTCGCACCTGGGCTGAATCAGTGGTTGGTTAGTTTACTTTCCCCTTCCTCTTCCCTCAGTGTTTCCATTGTGTAAGCTCTTTCAGTTAATCTTGTGTGTCTTAGTATATTGTCTGCATGTATGTCTGTTTACCATGCACTTAACAAAAACTAATGTTTGTGTTTTTTCTAATACTGATTTCTAGTTACCATGTGTACATGTCTTAGATTTGTGTGCTTCTGTTTTTGGTGTTGAAATCTAGTGTCTGAGTATGATCTGCAAATGCTTTACCACAGAACAAGGTGATCAGTTTTCAAACACTTTCCAAATACCTTGTCTTAAGTTTCCTATCCTTATTACCATCAATACATTCTGTATATTGTCGAACCTTAAAGGTTAAAAACAGAAGTGTTTTATTTAATGCTAGCATTCTGTTAACCAAAATTTATAAGAATAAAAATAATAGAAATCAGTCTCAGTTTTGTAAAATGCAAAATGAGATCTCATGAAACTTATGCATGTCAACCTATACATGTAAATACTACAAAATGCCACACTCACGTGAAAGTGGCAGCCTTTCTGTTTAAAAGCTTAGATGTTGTCTTTGTAGCCAGACATTACTTGTTTGAATCATGTGACTTCAGTATTCTTTCCTTTTTTGGTTTTTCGAGACAGGGTTTCTCTGTGTAGCTTTGAAGCCTGTCCTGGAACTCACTCTGTAGACCAGGCTGGCCTCAAACTCACAGAGATCCACCTGCCTCTGCCACCCAAGTGCTGGGATTAAAGACATGTGCCACCTGGCAACTTCACATATTCTTATTGTGATTTTCAAACCTTAGGCACCTGGCTACAGAATACTTTGTATTGTGTTTGCCATGCTTGGAAACTATTTCCTATTATATGTTAAAATAATTGAATTCTAAATCATTAAATGTATAAACCTTTCTTGTATAACACATCAACAAAAATATTGCTTTGAAGAACAATTTAATTTTTTTTCCCTCACATTTCTGTAGGTCGATATCTGGACTGGTCTCCACTGGGAAGTTTCTGTATTTTCCTGCCTTCAGTGATGAATGAGGTTTGATTCATCAGTGTTTTGAGACTGCTTCATTCAGGGTGTTCTGTCTCACATTTAGTGGTTCCTGCTGAGTCTTCTCAAAGCTCTGTTTTCATCAAGCTGGCACCAAAGCTCTTCACAGCACACCTGTGCCTAGTAGGTAAGTACTAGGCAGGAAATACTTTTTTTTTTTTTTTTTTTTTTTGTGAGACAGGGTTTCTTTGTGTAGCCCTGGCTGTCCTGGAACTAGCTCTTGTAGACCAGGCTGACCTTGAACTCACAGAGATCCACCTGCCTCTGCCTCCCGAGTGCTGGGATTAAAGGCGTGCACCACCACCGCCCAGCACGAAACACTTTTCAAGTTTAGGTTGTTTTCGTATTTACTGAGTTCACTTGGTCAAATGAGTCAAATGGCTCATAGTAATCATGGGAAGTAAATGGGGGTGTAGATACGTGGAGATGCCCCATTTGGAAACATTACTGTAGCAATCAATGCCCTATAAGAAATGTTCATTTTTTTTTTATCCTGTATAAGCATGGGCAAAAAAAAAAAATCTTGCAATCTGCATATTTTCCATGGAAATGAGCTATATGAAGGAAGAAGTAATGTAGAGGAAGTGCTTATAATGGAGCCCATTTGGGTGGATTGTAGAATATTTCATGTAACAGGTGCATTTCTGCGTTAATGATAGGGAAAACATAATTTCTGTGGTTTCAATTATTAAGTACTTTTGGAAGGGAATGTTGTTACCAAATTGTTCATTATTTGCTGATGTTAGTGCTTATGAATTCAGCCATAGCTTTCATGTGTAATGGCTCTGAATGTACTTGTGAGCCCATTGTCAATGGTATCTTTGTTGCACTTTCTTATAGATGGGACTATTTTCTTTTGCTTTTTTTTTTTTAAGATTTATTTATTTTTGTGTGCATTGGTGTTTGGCCTGCATGTATGTCTGTGTGGGGGCTTCAGATCTCTTGGAACTGGAGTTACAGACAGTTGTGAGCTACCATGTGGGTGCTGGGAATTGAACCTGGGTCTTCTGGAAGAACAGCTGTCTCTCCAGCCCCTCTCCATCTCTCCAGCCCCTAGGAAATTTTCTTACAATTTTTTTTTCTTCTTCTTTTTCAGCTAATTGCATAGTGTTTTGAGCGGAGAATCTAGGACCAAACCATGGATACCCTCTCACTTTCATGACTCTACCTTGGTCTCCTTTTCTCAACTGTGCTTCTGGTATCACCTGTGTGTTTTCGAGGGCAAAAACACAAACAAGCAGCTTACAGACATCATGAATGAATGTGTGGTGAGTTGTTTATTATACCCCGCTTGGATACATATTGCTATTTTATTTATAGTCTGACCATCAATAAGACCTGGCCAAATTTATGGAGAGAATTCGACTTCAACTCCTATTAGTAGTAATTATGGCAACAATTAAGAAATTATGGTTTTTCTTGTTGCTGTACATTATTCATATTTCTCCCAGGTTGAAAATATCTTGGATCACTGTCATTTCCACCACGAAGCTTTTCCAGTTACGGAACTGGATAAGATCATGGTCGAGTGTCTGTTAACCTCCTGTCCATACTCATCCAGCACTCAGGAGAGGACAAGGGTGGTGGGATGTAGGGCTGCCCTGTGTATACTGACTTGGGCATATATTCCCATTAGACAGCTAGGGCAGTTCTTTGCCGAAAGCCTAGTCCAGGGCCATGCTTCATGTGTCTTCATTCTGCTCTCTGGCTCTTGCAAGTCTCTCAACTGATACTCTTTTTCTCTAGAAAATGGCTCCATTTGCAATTAACCATCTTTTTTTCACTAACGTCAGCCAAATACTCAGACTCTTTTTACTTTTAATTTGTGTGTTTGTATACATTGGGGCTTGAACCCCGTGTCCCATGAACATTAAGCATTTACCTATTATGAACTACGCCCTGAACCGTCCCCATTTCTACTCTCCTACCTTCCTTGCCTTCTTTTTTCCTTTCCTTCTGTCTCTCTTTTTAAAAACTTTTTATTAATTTGTGGATTTCATATCATGCATCTCAATCCCATTCATCTCCCCGTTCCTTCATATCTGCCCTCTGTTCTTAAAACCTGCCCCTTCCTCCCCCAAATAAATTTTAAAAGGAATGGAAAGAAAAATCTCATTGTGGAAGCGGTCGTGTGGCATATTGAGTCACACAGTATACCTGTTAGTCCATTTATCTTTACTTGCAAGTGTTCATTGCAAGTCAGAGGTCATGAAGAGTCAGAGTCATTAAAGGTCAGGTCATGAAGAGTCAGAGACACGTCAAGAGTCAGAGGTCAAGAAGTCTCTGGTTTCTGCTACATTATTGACACTGGGCCCTCACTGGGACTCTACTTAGATATCCTGTTGTTGCTCTGCTGTGCAGATCCTGCAGCTTTGGATCTCTAAGACTGGCCTCTTCATGTCCTCCTGCAGATCGTAGAAGGGGTGAATGATGGCATGGGCCAACTTATTTTTTATTTTTTTATTTATGCTTTTAAAATTGATCTTATTTAGCTATATATTTTTCTCTGCTCCCCTCCCTTTCTCATCCCTCCCTTTCAACCCTCTCCCATGATCCCCATGCTTCTAATTTACTCAGGAGATCTTGTCTTTTTCTACTTCCCATGTAGATTAGATACATGTATGTCTCTTAGGGTCCTCATTGTTGTTTAGGTTCTCTGGGATTGTGAATTGTAGGCTGGTTTTCTTTGCTTTATATCTAAAAGCCACTTATGAGTGAGTACATATGATATTTGTCTTTCTGGGTCTGAGTGAACTCACTTAATATGGTGTTTTCTAGCTCCATTCATTTGCTTGCAAATTTCAAGATGTTATGTCTTTATGTGGTTTGGGTATCAGGGAAATTGTAGCCTCATAAAAAGAGTTTGGCAGTGTTCCTTCTGTTTCTATTGTATGGAACAATTTGAGGAGTATTGGTATTAGTTCTTTGAAAACCTTGTAGAATTCTGAGCTGAAACAATTTTGAGCTGAAACCATCTGGTCCTGGGCTTTTTTTGGTTGTGAGACTTTTGATGTCTGTTCCAAATTTTTTCTTTTTTAGCAGTTATAGGTGTATTTAATTTGCTTATCTGGTCTTGATTTAATTTTGTTAAGTGATATTTACCCAGAGAGTTGGGGATTGACCAACTTATAGCCCTGATGCCTGGGTCTGGATGGTTACTGGATTGGTCAGCCTGCCAACTCTCCCTCATCCTCACTACCAAGGTGAGCGCTCTAGCACTGCCCTGGCTAGTTCATCCTTTATAGCAAGCAGCAAAGGGTGGGATTGGTTCTCCTGTTCTCACATCCCTAGGAATAGCCCACCCACACCTACACCACCAGGGTACTATGTTGCCCGGGTGAGTGAAATTCAGGGGCCACTCTCTCAAGTGCTGCAGATGGTGAGGGGCAAGGCCAGCTCTTCTTCCTGTCACAGGCAAGGGTTGGTGGGTAGGGCATCTCTCCCAATATGGCAGATGAGGGGTGGGGTCATATTTCCCATGCTCACATTCTTGGGGCCAGCTCACCTGTGCAGGCATCAACAGGGTCTCTTGTCCTCACCATGTGAGGTGTAGGTAGGGTCAGTTTTCTTGCCTGCTGCAGGTGGCAAGGAGTGAGGAGGGAGGGAATCTTTCTCTCGCCCTCTACACCATGTGCCAGAGAGGGCAGGGCCACAGCTCTCCCACGCTCATGCTTTCAGCTCTGCTGTGCTGCCCAGGCGAGATGAAGGGCCTGTTCTTTGAGTGATGCAGCTGGTGAGGGACAAGGCTAGTTCTCCTGCTCTATGACCTCAGGGCCTGCTCTCCCACCTGCCACAGGCAGTGAGATGCTGTGTGTGTGTGTGTAAATGTCTTCCTTACCCATGCCACTGTGTGCTAGATGAGGAGCAGGGCCAGATCTCCCATGTTCAGGTTCTTGCGGTGGCTCATCCATGCCCCCATCAACATGGTCAGCTCTACTGTGCTGCCCAGGAGAGGTGCAGGATCAACTCTCTTGTCTGCCGCAGGTGCCAAGGGGGGAGGGGGGAGGGCATCTTTCCTTCGCCCACACCACTGCATGGCAGATGAGGGGGGCAGGATCAACTCTCCCACTCTCATGACCTCAGGACCAGCTCACCTGCACCCTGTTAACAGGATCAGCTCTATTGTGCTGCCCAGGTGAGGTGCAGGACCAGTTCTCCCTAGTGTTGTAGCCAGTGAGGGACAGGACCAAGAGGCATATAAAACTTAGCTATTGCTGCCATGAGGACCAGTGAACAACAGCTCAGAGATTGAAGGAGAAGCCACAGTACCAGTGAACTTATTAATAAAGTATGCCTTTAAATTGCTTTCCAAGATACTTTTTTTTATTACCTCAAAGACATTAACAAAAACATCTTAACCTAACCTTAAGTCATTTGTTAAAGCTTTGTTTTAGCTATGATGCACACCGAAACCTGTGAACACATCTCCCAACATAAAGATGAAAAGAATTTGAGCTAGCTCGGCTTTTAGCACTCAATTGTTTTTCTTTTCTTTTTTTTTTGTGTGTTTAATTCTTCATCCCTTATTCCTTGTATCAACAGATTAAACAGGTAGCATTTCCCCGAGTACTGATTTAGCGATGTTAAGAAGCACCAGTAAGTTTCACAGAGTAACATTCAGTAACCTCTTTAAATGTAATTTTAATCCTTATTATAAGCTAAATAAAATAATTTAATGCGATACGCTAAATACACACGAAGCCTGCATATCCTTAACTATGAAAATGCTTGCACAGTAACATACTGGTTAAATCAACTATACATTTTTACAATGAAATTACTTACATTTATGTCAATAGAACACCACCCAAAACATCTGTCCTGACTCAGGTTTATAAGCTGTGCCATCCCTGTTCCTGAAAGCACTTGTTTTAGAAACTTTACTGTTGCCAAGGAAGATGAGGTCCACTAACACTTAACAAATAGTAGTTTCATTAAAAAAAAAAAAAGAGTTCTTTAGAAAAGAATATTAAAACAAATAAGCATTCTTACAAGAACTTAGTTCCTTAAAAGAAACACAAACCAGTTCATTCTCTAAGAATTTCTCCCGCCACTGTCATAAAAACTTGCAATACATAAAGCACGAGTCTCAACTTTCATAAAGCCAAAAGGACATTTAGATTGCATGTTATGCAGCCATGGCATAGAGCTTGGCATACACAAGTCTACGAAACACTGCCTTTTCAGATGGAGCTGCACAACTTGAGACACTTTCAGAAGTCACTGAGTCCTGGTGAAGGATTAAGATATAAAGGCAGGCAATGAAAGGCTCAAGTTACAGAGCGAGAACTGAAGGCCTTTTTCATTGCATGCCTAGCCATCGCGTTACTGTAGACAAGTTAGAATGTATGGTTTCCAAATAAAATATCAAAATTTCAGATATTACAAATGGTGTCAAGATCCATAGATGGCTTCGTCAAAAGCTTTTCTAGCCCGCTTCAATTCTTCATTCATAGTAAGTCTTTAACTCTGGCAAACTTCCTTGGGTCCTTTCGAATCAGGAAGACAATATCTTCAGCTTGCACTCGACCCTGTCTCCCGATTGACATTGCCTTGTGAGTCATTTCAGTAATGAACTCGATGACAAGGTCTTTAAGAATATCCACCGACTCGGTGTAAGGATTCTGGTCATCCCCAAACCCATACATCATACACCGTAATTCTTTGGAGAAAAGTCTCTTTCTTCTCCCCTGTCCACCTTCTGCTCCTCCTCCAATTTCTTCATTTTCCTCTTCAAAGGTGGGGTCTTCCTCCTCATCTGCCATCCTAGCTGCCCGCCAGCCTTCTGAGTCCTCAATTGTTTTTCTTAATCATTAACCTAAGTCACGGTCTATATGGCTCCTCAAGAGAAAGTAGCAGTGTGGATATTTTCTGTTCTTTGCAGCCCCTGCTTTATCAGAGGTAGGGGCTACACTATATCTTGCTTTTTCCTATATTAGTTTCTCTACTATATTTAATAAATTATAATCCCTTATTATATTTATTAAAGACCCTCAATCATCAAAATCCTATTTAAACTAACACTATTATTGTTTAAAATCACTGCTTCAGTTAAACAGTAGAGCTTAGGAGAAAATCATCTCATAATGGTCCTCAGGGGAAAATGCCCAGCAGAACAGGATATTTCCATGAGATAATCACACTACATTAAAGGCAGTGGGGATTTCCTCCTGCCCATTCACGCCATGCCAAATACCAGAGAAAAATGGGACAGCAGTAGCAAGAGACATGGGGCCAAAGCCCTTGGGGCCTTGCCTATCTGAGATTCACCCATTAGAGCTTTGCTTCCTGGCTGGCAGACCTGAACTTCAATTGCCACCTGCTGCTCCTCTGACTTGCACTTATCATTGAAATTAGTCTAGATATCAAGCTGGGTGGTGGCACACGCCTTTAATTCCAGCACTCAGTTCTGAGTTCTAAGCTAGTCTGGACAATATAGTGAATATATAGCACCAGGACAGCCAGAGCTTCACAGGGAAACCCTGTTTTGAAAAACCAAAAAAGAAAGAAACTACTAGTAAAGATATGTAGTTGCAGAGTCATTCACTCCGCGACCAGTTCCTTCAGTTTTGTGTTTTCCTGTCGTCACAGGACAGGTTCATTTACCTGCATATGATGCTATGTATAGGACTATAAGACTATTACTGTGGTATGTGGTTGCTTGTGTGGTTAAGACAGGGTTCTGAAGGGGAGTTTCAGCCATGCCAAGTGAAGCAAAGGTTAAACTTTGACATGTTTCTGAGGAACGGGAGGTCTTGCACAAAGCAGGTTTGGTTAACATAGGACTTTTGAGCCAGTCAGTGGTGGTGCACTTCTTTAATACTAGCACTTGGGAGGCAGAGGTAGGCGAATCTCTGTGAGTTCGAGGCCAGCCTGGTCTCCAAAGCTAGTGCCAGAACAGGCTCCAAAGCTACACATAGAAACCTTGTCTTGAAAAACCAAAAAACAACAACAAAAAACCAACCAAACAAAAAAACATACGACTTTTGATACATGATTGAGCTAGGGAGTAGGGCATATAAAACTTAGTGAGAAGGGTTACTCTTTCTTTGGGGTGTAGGGATTATTATTGCATGACCCATACAGCATAACAGTAGTCAGGCTGCCTCCAACGCCTAGGAGGCAGAGCGAGGCCTGCATGTGTTCATGTCTCACAGCCCTATGTGGTTAAGGCCTGGTTACCTGAATGGCCTGGGTTCTCTTATTCCAACAGTTAAGGTTTTAATCTATAAGGTAATTATTGTAGTCCATTAATAAATCAATAACCTCAGGATAGTTCTTTGATGTTTCTTCTTCTCCACTTCATAAGCAAGACAAATTATAATGTAAAGTGCACATGAAGGCCTTCCACTATTTAGGAGACCTCGGGTCCTGTTTCTAAGCATAGAGTAATCGAGGAGGAATGTGCTGTTACAGGATTTGGTGTCATTTGAGGATGTCACTGTGAACTTCACCTGGGAGGAGTGGCAGAATCTCGATGATGCTCAGAGGGTGCTGTACAGGAATGTGATGCTGGAGACATACAGCAGCCTGGTGTCACTGGGTAAGTACGTCTAAGGAGCCAGCCATTTCACTGCAGTGAATGTGAGCAAGTGTGAGGTGTAGAGCTGTTCAGGGATAAGGTGCTGGGCCGCGGGTTCCATGACTGTTCACTGCTCTCTAGTGAAAGTTCCACATTTGTATTTTTGGTGCGTAGATCCTAAAACCTGGTTTTGTCTTTCTTCAAAGAACCTTATTAGCATAATTTTCTAAGTCCTACATTATTTCTAATTAACAGGACAATGCAGCCCTAAACCCGAGTTAATCTTTAGATTGGAACAGGGAGCAGAGCCATGGACAGCAGACGAATCTACAAACCAGAGTATGTCAGGTTAGTCGGTACTCATGAATGGGAGTTCATGTCTAGCACAGGTTGGCCGTTTTACTAATTTATCCTAAGTTCCATATTTGAGGGCTCAGACTTGTTCGGTGAAGTCTACAAGAAGACATAGTCTACAAAAAGAATTCTCTTGAATTTGTTCCTACCTTTCAATTTGACAAAAATTTTCTAAGATTTGCCCCTGAAGTCTAATTGTTGACTTCTGTTATTTGATGTTTTTCTCTGGTACTTCCTTTTTCCATTGTTTCAGTTGCCTCTTAAACGCCAGTCTCATGGGGATTTTGTTTTCAGACATTTTTTTTTTCATGTGCTTTTTGTTTTAGCACATTTTTTTTGTGTGATTTTTCTTTCTTTTTTATTATTATTTTATTTTATTACTTAAAAAATACCAATCCAAATTCCCACTTCCTCCCCTCCTCCCACCCCCTCCACAGATCCTCCCAAACCCTTCCAGTCTTAAGAGAGGGCAAGGCACTCTGCGCTATGGAAAGTCCAAGGCACTCCCTACTACATCTAGGTTGAGCAAGGTATATATCCAAAGAGAATAGGATCCCCAAAAGCCAGTATATGGAGTAGGCACAAATCCCAGTGCCATTGTCATTGACCCTTCAGTCTGCTCCAACTGTCAACCACATTTAGAGGGACTAGTTTGGTCCTATGCTTGTTCATTCTCAGTCCAGTTGGAGTTGGTGAGCTCTCATTAGCTCAGGCACATTGTCTCAGTGGAATCCCTCACGGTCTTCACTTCCTTGCTTATACTCTCCCTCCTTCTGCTCTTCAACTGGACCTTGGGAGCTCAGTCCAGTGCTCTGATGTGGTTCTCTGCCTCTGTTTCCATCTGTTGTTGGATGAAGGTTCTATGGTGATATTTAAGACATTCATCAGTCTGACTACAGGGCAAGGCCTGTTCAGGCACCCTCTCTTCTATTGCTTAGGGTCCTAGCTGGGTTCATCCAGGTGGATTTTTGGGAATTTTTCTAGAGCCAGGTTTCTTGCTAACCCCAAAATGGCTACCTCAATCAAGATATCTCTTTCCTTGCTCTCATATCTGTCCTTCCTCCATCTCAACTATACCATTCCCTCAAGCTCTCCCCAACCCTCCCCTTCTCCCTTCCTTTTCCCCTCCCCCCCGCCCCCATGCTCCCAAATTTTGTCAGGTGATCTTGCCCGTTTCCAATTTTCTGGTGGGTCTATATATGTTTTTCTTTGGGTTCACCTTATTACTTAGCTTCTCTAGGATCTGAACTATAGGCTCAATGTCCTTTGTTTATGGCTAGAATCCACTAATGAGTACATATTTTTGGGTCTGGGTTATCTCACTCAGGATAGTGTTATATAATTCCATCCATTTGCATGCAAAATTCAAGATGTCATTGTTTTTTACCGCTGAGTAGTACTCTAATGTGTAGATGTGCCACACTTTCTTTATCCATTCTTCTGTTGAAGGGCATCTAGATTGTTTCCAGGTTCTGGCTATTACAAGTAATGCTGCTATGAACATAGAATGCTTTTGTAGTATGATAGGGCATCTCTTGGGTATATTCCCAAGAGTGGTATTGCTGGATCCTGAGGTAGGTTGACTCCCAATTTTCTGAGAAACCGCCACATTGATTTCTAAAGTGGTTGTAGAAGTTTGCATTCCTACCAGCAATGGATTAATGTTCCCCTTACTCCACATCCTCTCCAGCATAAGCTATCAGTTTTAGTACATTTAAAAAAAAATAATTTATTTAAATTTATCTTATGTGCATTGGTGTAAAGGTGTCAGATCCCCTGGAAATGGAGTTATACACAGTTGTGATCTGCCACATGGACACTGGAAATTGAACCTTGGTCCTCTGGGAGAGCAGTCAGTGCTCTTAACCACTGAGCCATCTCTCCAGCCCTATCTTTTTAGCACATTTTAATGAGACAGATTTCAAGTGCTGGTCATTTTATATTTGTTCATCGATAAAAATGTAAAAATAATATCCTTACTTCATGGAATTAATATTTTGATAAAAGACAGATAAGTTTATTTATACTAAGGAGTCACAAACAACTGTTTGTAATGTTGAACCAGAGTAGAATGAGTAACAGATGGTGTTTAAAGTTATAGAGTATTTCACTTAGGTAGTTTATAATAAAATACAGGAAGAGACCTACAAGTTAAGGCGTGTGAGGCATGATCTAAGAAACCATAAGGAGGATCCAGCATAGGAAGGGGTGTTTCCACTTGAGAAAGAATCAAGGAGAAGTGAAACAAGTTTTCATATTGAAGAACTCAAGCTGGTTTTTTTAAAATGGGGATTATAGTTTGAATGCAGCACTTCCATCTATTTTCTTTCTCTCATTCTAAAGCAACAAAGATAATGAGAAATGGCAGAAGATTCCATCTTCTATGAAACTAAAAGAAGTAAAGTTTCTGTAAACATGATAACATCCTTGAGAATCTATGGATTATCAGACATAGGAGGGTGTATCAGCAATTTGGAGGTGAATGTCAAAGCTCTTGATATCACAAGTAGCCAGACATTTTAGAATTGATGTACAGCATGCTCATTTCTCCCGGGTGGTGGTGGGCATGAGTTTCCTTGTATTCTGATTCTGAAAAGAGCAGGAAATTTTGTTCAATTAAGACCTCAATTACTGATATCTGTTTTGTGTGGAAGTGGAAAGAAAGGACTCTCATGTTTGAAAACTCATAATCCATGATCACTCCTGAAGTAATAACTCTAACAAATAAAGATGTAAACACATGGCCATAAGGGAGACCTCCGGTTAGGAGGCAGCCTATTGGGCTTTTCTCATAATCTGCAAAGAAAAGGTAGAAATTATTTCCCTTCTTAAGACCAGAAAAAGAGAATGCCGGAAAGAAAAGGTCATAGGAATTGGTGGATATTTCATCAAAATATTGCTTCACAAAAATAAAGTGAGGAAAAATATGTTAATCTATTAGTGTGTTTCAGTATGTTATATCAAAAGAATAAATAAAGTTTATAAACTAGTACTTAATATGATCTTAATGAATCACTATGCTAGTAGTATAGGAAAAAATTTCTTGGCATGAACATGAGAATTCCACTAGAAAACCTAAATTGTAATTTACAGAAAAAAAATTTTTTTGGTCCTTTTAGGCTTCTACAGTGTGGACGGCACAGTTGAGACCAACCAGAAATGTGAAGACAGACATTTATGGCAAGTTACTGCCAATAGCCACAATAGAGCAACTGAGGAAACAGATGGATTAGAAAACACTTTTTATTTTTGCTCCATGAAAATTTCAAATTTTGCTGTAAATAATAGAGAATGTTCAGGAGTGAAGCCTGAGGAGTTGAATGGATATGAGAATACATGTCTTCCTTCTGAGTCTCATGGCATATACACTTTAAAGCAATATAGTGACTGTGGTGTAGCAGGGAAATCCCTCGGGTGTCCTGAGCAATTTGGTCAACATTCCAAGATTCAAACTGGGCAACAGGATTTTGAACACAATGGAAAAGGAAAAGATACAAAGGAGGCAAAAGTACTGAAAAGAATTACTCCATCTAACAGACTTCAAATGGGACTAACTTTGTATAAGCATAATGATTATGAGCAAGTCTCTGTTGAGTCGGATGTCATGGTTAAGGTAGGGAAGGCAACTTTTGGTAAAACATGTAACCTCACTGAACACCAAGAAACATACTCAGGGAGCAAACCTTGTGAATGCCTTAAAAGAAAGAAAATCTTTACTAGCAAATTAGACCTTTCAGTTCATCAGAGGACACATGACCAGAAGAAAGCCCATGTATGTATTCTGTGTGAGAAACTCTTTAGCACTAAATCCTCCCTTACTACTCATCAGAGGATTCACACAGGAGAAAAGCCCTATGGATGTAGTAAATGTGATAAAAGCTTCAGGCAAAAGTCAGCCCTTGTTGTACATGAGAGAACTCACACTGGTGAGAAACCCTTTGAATGTTGTGAGTGTGGTAAAGCCTTCCAGCATAAGTGGTACCTCAAAATGCACCAGAGAACTCACACAGGTGAGAAACCATACGAATGTCAAGACTGTGGAAGAGCGTTTCTAAAGAAGTCATACCTCAGATTGCATCAGGGAACTCACAAGAGAGATAAACCATATGAATGCGAAGAATGTGGAAAAACCTTCCATAACAGATCATACTTCAACATGCACCTTCGAACTCACACTGGTGAGAAAACCTATGCATGCAACGAGTGTGGAAAAGCCTTTTACCAAAAGTCAGACCTCAGGAGGCATCAGAGAATCCACAACAGCGAGAAATCACACAAATGTAAAGAATGTGGAAAAGCCTTTCAAAATAAATCATACCTCAAAACTCATCAGAAAGTTCACACAGGTGAGAGACCATATGAATGTAAACAGTGTGGCAAAGCCTTTCAGAACAAGTCATATCTCAACAAGCATCAGATAATTCATACAGGTGAGAAACCCTACGAATGTACTAAGTGTGGGAAAACATTTCAGTGGAAGTTAGTCCTCAGTAAGCATTATAGAATTCACACAGGTGAAAAGCCCTATGAATGCAGTCAGTGTGGGAAAATGTTTGGTTACAAATCATCTCTCATTGTACATGAGTTGATTCATTCTGGGAAGAAACCCTATGAATGTATTGTATGTAGAAAAACGTTTTCACAGAAATCAAACCTAATTAGGCATCAGAGAACTCATAGACATCGGGATGCATGATGGGGATGGGTACAGAAAGATGTTTGCCTGACGTTTAAGCCTCAGAAGGTTTGCAGTACTCCAGGAATTCCCTTGAGTGTGAGTGGGGTAGGTGTTCTTTCTGCAGAACAGTTTTCAGTTAACATGAGAGGACCTACACAGGGCTGACAAGAATTAGGAATGGATGTGAGGGGGAGTCCCACCAGAACTTGCCCTTAACATGCTATGAGAAAACCCACACAAGAGGAAATTTTAATAGATGTAATACATGTGGAAAAATGTCCCACACTACAGATCTAAACTTGGAATGCATCTAAGTATTTACATAGGAGGAAACGTGAATGTAGAGAATATAGAAGTTTTTTTTTTTAATATTTGTTTATTATTTATTGTGTATACAATATTCTGTGTGTATGCCTGCAGGCCAGAAGAGGGCACCAGACCCCAATACAGATGGTTGTGAGCCACCATGTGGTTGCTGGGAATTGAACTCAGGACCTTTGGAAGAGCAGGCAATGCTCTTAACCTCTGAGCCATCTCTCCAGCCCCCGAGAATATAGAAGTTTTAAACATGTTTTTCTTCAGTATATTTGAGATAACTCATACTGGAGAGGAACTCAGTGAGAGCCCTGAGTGTGGTAAATACTTTTTATAACATAATTGAGAAGAAAAATCTATGAATATAATTAAAGTTGAAAACCATTTTGGCATCATTCATGCCTTAATATGCTTGAGAAAGTCCACACTGGTAAAAATCTCTTCAAGAAATGTAACCATTGGAAAATTATCTGGAAGTCACTGCTTGTTAAATATGAAATAGTCCTGTGAAGAAGATCTATGGGAATAGGGTTATTGTGGGAGCTTTCCAGTAGAAATTCACCACAGCATGCATTAGAGAACCTCCTTGAGAGAGGAAAGCCTCCAATAATATTGGAAGCCCATGAATTACAGCTAGGCAAGCATCAGACAGTATAATCTAAGGGAAGTCTTATGGCATGGAAGAAATCAAGACCATCTAGAAATTAAGCGTTGACATACATCACATAATGTGTACAGAGAAATGATGCCGAGTAGCAGAGTGGCCATGTGTCCCGCAGAGACCATTTTCTTATCTCTGGACATAGTCTGCAATTCTCTGCCTCCACCGTAGCCCTTGCAAGTTAAGTGAGCTCTGCTGGGACACTGTGAACTCACTGATGGCAACCCAAAAAACAGCAGGCAGTTTTTTTCCAGTTTGTGTCAAAGAAAAGCGAAGGTGACCCTAAGGACGTTCTTGCAAATAAAGGTGGAAGAAATTTATTGGCATTTAAGAATTGTTTGAAGAAACAGTGATCTTTCCTCCTTTTTTTGTCCTTTATGCCTGGCACATTAGTGTGAAATAAATGTAATGTTTAATTTCCCCAAGTGTGATCTGTTCTCATTGTATTACTAACAGGTCATTCTTGACAATTCATTTTATGAATACAAGGACTCTTTCTGAGGAATGTGAATAACTTTGTATCAGCACATTCATACAGAAGAGAAGCCTGCCTTGTCATTCTTCTTTTCTAGGTTAATTCTAGAAGAATCAATTGTGGAAGAAAATTACAATGAATCATTTTTGGGAATGCTTTTTATCATGCAGGGGTATCTCACTGAAGAAATAAATTAGATAATTGCCAAATATTTTTATAGTGTTTTCATTTCTATAAGAAATTGTAATGAAGAGAGATTTACCAATGTATATATTATACATATGAATATGGGTCATGTTAAACATTAACTACTTTAACTGCAAATGCTTGAATATTCAAGCATAAAACATGAGTGGTGATACAGTCTTCGAGGATACATTTGACTAAGTCTGGAGACATTCTTGTTTACTTAACTGCATGTTGGGAGCTGTTGGTTGTCAGCTGCTGGGTAGAGGCCAGGGTTCTGATACATTGCTTAAGAAGCATTGAATACCCACCTCAGGTTAGAACTTTATGTTAGAGATCTTTCTTAATGATCCATTAACTGTGATATGATAATCCATACAGCTAATATAATAAATATCATGACAAATAGTGTGCCCTGTCATTTCCTATTGCTTAATGAAACACTTGATGTTTAGAACTTTTTCAGGAAATTAAATTTATTTTTATACGTAAACATTAGCCCAAGGCGAACACCCCCCCCCCCCCTTGGGTAAAATCAGATGGTATTGGATCCGCATCTGAGCCTTGGCTGTATTCAAACTCAGCCGAGATAGGCGGGAAGGGGTAAGTGCACTCTGGCCTGAGTACTTGTATCCTGCTCTCTGTCTCTAGAGCTGGGAAAATCAGGCGGGGCTGTGTTTAGTACACCGCCTTGGGGCGCCTGGCAACTGGGCCAGGAGCCCGCTGTGAAAATTGCTTGCAAGTGCCTGGAAGATCGGACCCTGGCAGTGAGCCGCGAGATAGGGGGAACAAACTAGGACGTTTGGGGGCTGCTCTCCATGAGTAGCAGCCCTCAGGAAGAGAGTGTAGTGCGCATGAGCGGGCAGCTCTCTCAATCTAAAGTTCAAGCCTGCGCCCAGGGCCCGCCTAGGGGCGGAGGCGTTAGGTCGCCAAAATGATGTGGTGTAATAACCAGGTTAGCTTAATATGAAATAGTAAACTTTAATGAGGGACTAGCTTACAACACCAGCGATGAGCAGAAAGTACAAAAAAAGGACCAGGGTGCTCACACTCGCCAGATTTATAAGTAAACACTAGCCCAAGGCGAACACGCTCTCTTGGGCTGGGCTTCCCCTACATATTTTGATGATGGTTTCTTTTTTAGGTTGAAAATTGAAGAGCAGGTAGGTAGGCTTATCATTTTTGCGTCTACTGTGGGTCTACTTTGCTGTTTTGCAAGATGTTGAAGTGTTGGAAAGGGAGCAAGCTATGTATAGAAAAACAGCAAATGTGCTTTGGTCCCACATTTAAAATAGTGCAAAATTATGAGACTGATTAAGATTAGCATTAATTTCTTTTGTGGCAATTCCCTTGATCCGGTTACTGTTTTTCCCTCCTGTCAGCATCATCGAGCAGAAGTTCATTCACTTGTCATCACCACCACACAGTGGACCAAGTTTTACTCAGCACATAACATTTTGAAAGGGATTATTACACTAAATGCCACTGCAAGATCATATTGTTTTAAGTATGAATCATAAAAGAGTCATACCACACATTTTCTACTAATGTATGTAAAATTTTAATTTATTGGGGCTGGAGAGATGACTCAGAGGTTAAGAGCATTACCTGTTCGTCCAAAGGTCCTGAGTTCAATTCCCAGCAACTACATGGTGACCCACAACTATCTGTAATGGGGTCTAGTGCCCTCTTTTGACCTGCAGGCATACACACAATAAATAATTAAATATTAATTTTTTAAAAATTTATTTAATTTGTTGTTTTGAGACAGGATCTCTTTATTAGGTAGCTTTTGCTGTCCTGGAACTTGCTACGGAGACGGAGACCCATTTGACCTTGAAACTTGCTGTGTAGACTAGGCTGACCTTGAACTCACCTATCTACTTGTCTCTGCCTTCCAAGTCTGGGATTAAAGGCGCCTGCCAACACTGACAGCCAATTTCTATTTTTATTACCTAAACTTTGAGCAAAACATGCCCCCCCCCCAATGTTTTCAGTATACACAGTGAAGCCGAGTAATCTAAAAAAAAAAAAAAAAAAAAGCATTTTTGTAGAAATGTATAATTCTGGCACATTACTTTCAACAGATTAACTGAGAATTACCTCAGATAGCTGTGAAAAGTGGTAATATTTTATTCCACTGAGTTAAATGCAGTCTCTGGGAGATGAATTTCTAATATTATTGAAATTGGTACCTGGACAGGTATACGTATGTATGCCAAAGGATGTGTAACAAGTTACTCTGTATAATTAAATCTCTAGTTATGAAATGCTAGGTACATGCCAAACAACAGCTACTCCATTAGTAAGCGTTGTTTCCACCACACTTTAAAGAAAAAAAGATATATTTTAAAAAGATAGTGTGGCATGACAATGTAAAAACTTGAGCTATATCCCACCAAGCAGGAAAGAATATACCTTCTTCTCAGCACCTCATGGAACCTTCTCGAAAATTGATCACATACTTGGTAACAAAGTAAACATCCACAGATACAAAAAAATTGGAGTAACCACCCGTGTCTTATCAGATCACCATGGAGTAAAGTTAGAATTTAACAACAATACTACCCCCAGAAAGCCTACAAACTCATGGAAATCGAACAGTCAACTACTGAACCACCAGTGGGTTGAAAAAGAAAAAAAAAAAAAAAGAAAAAAAAAGAAAGAAATTAAAGTCTTTCTTGAATTCAGTGAAAATGAAGACACAACATCCCAAACCTATGGGACATTATGAAAGCAGTGCTAAGAGGAAAGTTCATAGCACTAAGTGCCGACATAAAGTAAATGGAGAAAGCTCACATTAGAGACTTAACAGCACACCTGAAAACTCTAGAAAAAATAGAAGCAGACTCACCCAGGAGGAGTAGAAGACTGGAAATAATCGAAATGGGGGCTGAAATCAACAAAATAGACACAGAAAACAATGCAAAGAATCAATGAAGCAAAGAGTTGGTTCTTTGATAAAATCAACAAGATTGACGAACCCCTATCTAAACTAATCAAAAGGCAGAGAGAGAACACTAAGAAAACCAGAAATGGAAAGCGGGACAAAACAGACACTGAGAAAATTCAGAGAATCATTAAGTCTTACTACAAAAGCCTGTTCCTCACAAAATTGGAAAATGTAAAAGAAATGGACAATTTTTTCTTTTTTAATTTTTTAAAATTTATTAAAACTTCCCCCCAATTCCCACTTCCTCCCCTCCTCCTCCTCCCTTTCCTCTCCCTCCACAAGACCCTCCTACCCCACCTCTCCAATCATAAGAGGAAATGGGCAATTTTTTTTGCACCCTGACTTCTCTCAGGACTAGAGAGGGAGGGGAAAGGGGAATGGGAGGAGTGGGAGGGAACTGGGAGGAGGTGGAAATTTTAATAAATAAACAAAAACAAAACAAAACCCAATATATATGTATGCATATATATGAATGAACTCAAGAAATTAGTCATCAAAAGAACAAATAATACAGTAAAAAAAAAGTACAGTCCTCAACAGAGAATTCTCAACAGAGCAATCTAAAATGGCTGAAAGACACTTAAGGAAATGTTCAACATCCTTAGCCATTAGAGAAATGTAAATAAAAACAAGACTGAGATTCCATCATAAACTTGTAAGAATGGCAAAGATCAAAATTACTGGTGACAAATTATACTGGGGAGGATGTGGGACAAAGGGAAGGAACACTCCTGCATTGCTGGTGGAAGTGCAAACTGGCACAATCACATTGAATATCAGTATGGTGATTTCTCAGAAAATTAGGAATAACCTTCCTCAAATCCAGCAATACTTTAGAGTGTATACCCAAAAGATTCTCAATCGTACCAGAATGGCATGTGCTCAACTATGTTCATCACAGCGTTCTTTATCATACTAGAACCTAGAAACAACCTAAATGTCCCATGACTGAAGAATGGATGAGGAAAATGTGGTACATTTATACAATGGAGTACTACAAAGCAATAATAATAATAATAATAATAATAATAATAATAATAATAATGACATCTTGAGATTTGCAGGCAAATGGATGGAGCTAGAAAACATCTTATTGAGTGAGGTAACTCAGACCCAGAAAGACAAACATCATATGTACTTGTGTAAGACTTTAAGACAATCCTAAAGTCATTTCTGACAATTCTGAATCCTCTCAGCCTCTGTGCCATAGTGGTTCCCCTCCTCCCCTGGGAACCAAGGACCTAACAGCTACACTCGCACGTACTCAGTTCCTGAACAATTACCCATATATGTATGTGCTTTGGTTCGGTCCCCTGGGAAATGGGGTCAAAATGACCTCTTACCTCATCTGATCTGGCAACAGCTCTCCAGTCAATTATTGGTAATAGCCCTTTCGAATAAGCCAATCAAAATAGTTAAAAAACAACCCCCCTTGCTTCTGTGGCCCCTTTAAAAATAGACTGTACCCGCTATTCGAGGTCCCTCGGCTTCCCGAATGCTGGGGGACCCTGTCATGACAGAATTAATAAAATCCTCATGCTTTTGCATCGGCTGTGGTGTATGAGATGGTCTCTGGGGGTGACTCCTTCTCGGTCTTTGGACGCTAGAGTCCAACATTTGGTTCCCTGACAGGGAATTGAGTCGCTCCCAGACACACTCTAGACCCAGTTGGAGGTATAAAAAAAATGAGCTCATTTTTATGTCTGTCTGTTTGTGTATTGTGTTTCTGTTTCTGTGTAATTGTGAATCAGTAAATTTGAAGGAATATTGTACTTGCGCAGGGCTAGTATTTGAAGGGGACCAGGCAGTGGGACAGACGTGTCCGGGAACACTCCCTGGCCCAGCCGTAGAGGACGCTTCACTGGCAATTTGTGAAACTAGGAGCGACCAGGTCATCTTAGTTTCTAGGGAGTGTGGCCCTTATCGCCCACTCCCTTCCAGGTTCGTATCAGTTTGTTGCCGCGCGGCTTCTGATTTTGAGTCTATGTCTGTCCTTTTGTTCTTGTGTATTTTCAGTTCTACACCAGAGTGGTGGTGAGAGCACCAGCTTCTGGTTTTGAGTTTATGTCTGTCTCTTTGTATTTTTGTTTTTGTATGTCTGTTTGTCTTTGTTAAAATCCACCTGCAGGTATTCAGAACCTGGCACCGGCCTCCTGGCCATCATCAGTTTCCCTGATTCCGAAAGCAGCCCCACTGCTGAAGGAGTTGATGGCTGCCCCTCCCCAAGCCCTTTGTCTTCTCTCTTTCCTGTACAGGAGCAAAAGAAACCCAGAATCCAGGCACCTCTGGTTCTTCCTGATATCCAGCCGAGCATGACAGACTTCTCCCTCCTCCTCCTCCCCCGGAGGAAGCACTTGGTTCCTGAGGAGCCCTGCTGGTCTGGTCGGGGGGGGGGGGGGGGCCTAGCCCTGAAAACTTCAGTACTCAATGTCTATGCTGGGACAGGGGAGGGATGTCCACTAGAGAGAGTGATCTCCCAAGCATTTCCCCTTTGCTCAGTAGCAGGCCAATTACAATATTGCCTTTTTCTGCCTCTAACCCTTTCTTCTCTTAAAACCCTTTCTTCTCTTGGGACTCTCAGGCCGTGACCGGGCTTATAGAATCTGTTCTGGTTATTCATCAGCCCACTTGGGATGATTGCCAGCAGCTCTTACAGGTGCTCCTAACCGCAGAGGAAAAAGAATGTCCCAGGAGCTGACAGCAGGCCAACCCAATCACCGGACAAGATAGAGGATGGGACTTCAATATTCCAGCTGGTAGGGAGCAGCTCCGTCTTTATTGCCAGAGTCCAGTTGGCGGGTCTAAAAAAAAGGAGGGGGGGTTGCAAAGCACCCCACTAATTTGCTAATTTGGCTAAGGTAAGAGCAATAGTACAAAGGTCGGATAGTACTCCTACAGGATTTTTAGAAAGACTATTGGAGGGGTACAGGATGTACACCCATTTTGATCCCATGGCAGCAGATCGCCAAGCCAATGTAGTGATGTCTTTTATAGGCCAGTCAGCATCAGACAGCAAGTTGCAGAGAATGGAGGGACTGCAGAGATGCTCCCTCCAGGACTTAGTAAAGGAAAAAATTAGACAGACAGGGAGGCAACAGAAGATGACAGCTGCAGAGACTGCGCACCTCAGACGGAGCAGCTGCTGAGTGGCCGAATGCGGACTTCAGTGAGGAGTGGCCCTACAGGGCTTTGGGCTCGAGACACTTCCCAAAGCAGCTGCTGAGCAGAAGCAGGTCGGAAAACGGCGCCGAGCACAGCCGGCTACTGAAGCGATGCTCTGCCCACCTGAGAGGCCTACACAGCAGCCACAGTGACAGTACTGAAATCCCCCCCCCCCCCCTTGCTTATGCTGTGCACCCAGGTGTCCGATTCTGGGGTGTACGGGGGGGGGGGGGAGGGGGAGGAGTTCCCCCTCGCTTTGTCTGAAGCATTTGACTATGGACACAAGTATGACTGATTATTACTAAGTGTTCCACGCTTTTATTAGAAAAAGACCTGTTGGAGACTTTGACTTCCCCTACTGTTCTCCAGGGCTGATAAAAATTAGCAGGCTGCTCTCTGCCTTTGCCGTGCCCACCTTGCTGAGGAAGGCTTTGCAGCCACTGCCGGCTGACTCCTCCCAGCTGCCTTGGTCACAGCCCAAGCCTGGGAACTCTGCTTACAGCCGCCTGCCCCGGCAGGCAGCAACTGACTGAAACGAGGAGGGGCTGGGAGATGC